AGAATTAAGCAGGGATTAATTTGAAATCCAATAGCTGCCACTTTAATGGACTCGCTGGCACACAGCGCTTCTGATGTGTTATTTTTGTGCAGTTGCACAGGGATGTTTTGCACTCCTGCTACAAACACACATCATCTGCCTCAGGTTGTGAGGAGAGCAGACCCTACAACAAGGATGATGTGCACATTCATTTCTAAGATTTTGCACCCTTTCTTAAAGCCCTCTTTGGAAAAAGGTACTGGAGGAGATTGAAGAATTTGTGTATCCCTGTTGTATTTTGGGAATTGCTTAATTCCTGTCTGTTTGCTTGGCTTTCTGTGCTGCCAATATTAAGATGTGGATTGTGAGTTTAACCCAGAGCTTACTGTACCAATATTTTTGTGCTTATTGAGAACACTAAGAAAGAGTTCTGCTCAAAGACTGTTGGATATTATAATACAGTGTGGAAAACACATTTATCCTTATCTATAAGTTATCCACGTGAAATGTTACTATGTGATGTTTTAACTCTTATTTCTGTTGTGATGTAACATTTTAAAATTAAACCATTCTTCCCCTAATTAGCACTTCAGCTTTTTAAAATTACTTTTTTCATAACGCTCATTTTAATTGGAGTACCATGCATTGCATGTTTTATGAAACACCTTCATTGAAAGTCTTGGATACTTCCCATTTGGGTCCCTATAGACCCATCCAGTTTGAAAAGACACTGTTTTATCCTCTCCTTAATTACAGTATTTGGAGCAACTCTCTGTTAACTGTTTTTAAGTTCCACAGGATAATGAGTCTAGCAGAACTAGAGAGCGTACAGCAAAACACTGTTCACAGGAGGAAGCTTGCTGTTGCTTAGCTACCTGTCTTTTTAATTTGAAATCTCCAGCAATTCCATAATGACCAGTCCTTAAGCTGCTAAATGTATTTGTTCATGACAGATTCTGAACATGCATTTCACCTATGTGTTACTGCCATTACTGTAGAAATAAAGAGGGTGTTTGTAATGGCATTGTGTTGTGGTGTAAATCCCTGTGCCTAAATACGGTTACAGAAGCAGTTCTTAGGTGGGTACTACAGTGAAATTCAGAATAACTTGAGAAAAAAGAGTGTTGCCTCTGCTCCTCCAGAGCAGTCACAAGTATGAACAAGTTTTGTGTAATTTGTAGGTAGTGCAGCCAGTCTGTAGTACACATTCTCACACCAATTTGGAACATAATAGTGATAGATAATGAATTCCAGATCAAAGTACTGTGACACTGAACATGGTTTTGGTCCATTTAGCATTTTCTTGCAAGTGAGAAAATGCCTGATGTGTAGAAACTCACAGAAGTTTTCTGAAATAAGACTCTGAATTAGGCAATAGTCATAGGAGAACTGTTTTTTTTTTTTTTTTGAATCTGTGAAAAACTTCAGTTACATTAATGCTTTCTGATCAATCCTAAAATTGATATAAAGAGATCGTTTATCTAGGCTTGTGGCCACAGAACTGGTATAAGCATAGAAAGAAGTTCTGGCTTTTCTAAACCTTTATCCAGTATGTGGATCTAAAAAGGATTTTCATTTGCTATTAAAGTGGATTCTTTCTTACTATAATAGTATGGATGCTAAACATGAGCAAAAGCAGGGAGCACAGTGCCTTTGGAAAAGCAGGCCGCATAACTTTCTCAGTCTTGCCTGAGAAAGTGGCCTGGGAAATCATAAGGAGGAATTAAAACAATCCTCAGAGATAGAAAACAGCCTTGCAGGTGTTGTCAGTTTCTTGTTTTCTTGCAAGAGAAGGTGGAGGGGTGGTGTATCCCACTGACCAATGATGGTGATGTGTTAGTTCACTAACCAATAAGAGTTTCCTTTTCTGTACTTTTCACATATTTGTCTATAAAAGATCTGAGGTAATAAACCTCGCTCTCCTGTTCAACACACAAGAGATCTGTGTCGTGCTTCTTGCCATTCCCAATAGAGTGACAGAATAGTCTTTCCCATTAAGAGAAGTCTCTGTGTCTCTTCCCCTTTTGCCTACACCAAACAGCCACAGCAGCTTCTGCAGCAGCTTGGGTGAGGCACCTGGTGTTTTTGGGGGGCGTCCATCCCTCCGTGGCTGGGCCAGCTCGGGCAGTGCCGCTGTGACCGGCACAGGCAGCGGCAGCGCTCGGCTGCCCGGCGCTGCAGGGGAAGGAGTGTTGGCTCTGCAGGTACAGCTGCAGCACCCTGCCAGCCCCTGGGACAAGCACAGCTCGCTGGCACAGGCCGTGGGAGCCGTGCTTCCATGGCCCGTGCAGGTGGGGCCATGCACAGGTGCCAAAAGCAGCTTTTTGTAAAGGAACTCCAGCACTCTGCTGCTGAGCTGACCTGCCCACCTAGGCAGAGTTTTGTTATGGATGCTTTCTGTTTTGTATTGGTTAGGATTTTGGAAAGATGAACTTGTTAGTTTGACAACTAATTATATTTTTAATCTAGTGCTGAACTGTCTTGGGAATCTATGAGCGAGTTAATTTAAATGAAATTAGGTATTTCAGCTCTTGCAGGTATACTTTGTAGGTTTAAATGTGAATCTCTGTAATCCCACTTCAGATATTCATAAGGTTTTGATGTCCTCATGGAAAATACTGGCCTATTTCAGTATGATTTTGTGCTCGATTAACCGTTTAGAGATATTGACTTACAGATATTCAACAGAGTTGCATATTTTTGCCCTTTTATAGTGGTTTAATATTGATGTGTAGATATCAGTTTCTGGGTCTGTAAATCTTTCTTATTAGGATAATTTATTTTTAAGATTACTGAGTGTGTAGCTCTCGTACAGCCTCATATAATTTTTGTCATGCCTTCATGGTTTTAATCCTTTACATTTTAACATTGCATCCCATGACTTTAAACTGACTATATATTGTCCTTGATTTCCCAGTGCAGAGCCACGGCTGCACTGGCCTCTCTTCCCTTGCACAATTCCATGGAGACTTCTGTACAAGACATGACAAAATGTGAAAACATACTCATAGATCACCTTATAAATATTTATTCATATAAATTCTTTAAAGAAATTAAATTATGTGTTCTATACAAAATAGGAAAGAGAGGCTTTTAGTGTCACTGGCTGCAAATTGAAGTCATTTGTCTTGAAGGGTCAGGTGCCACTTTGTGGTAAGATACTTGTCAGAGATCCAAGAAGGGAAAGATTGATAGTACAAAGAGATTGATGGAACAGGCACTGCAATATGCATACGAAGTTACGGGTTAATTAGGAAGATTTAAACAAGAAAGTCCCTTTGTGTGGAGAAGTGTCATGTGCTGTTACTCTCAGAAGCGAGGTGTGCTGGCAGCCTTTTGAACAGGCAGAGTTGATTTTCAGAGATGCTTATGTGGAGATGTGCAGTTGTGAATATCAGCGAGGTGGCAGATCACCAACAGCACACGCTGCTGCTGACGAGTGCTGCTCAGGGAATTCAGTGGTTTGCATACAGAGACACCTGCTCTGCTCACATCTTTGGTTTTGTTGTGCTTGATGTAAATTATAATGCTGGTTTTGCGATTCCTGTATCAGAGTACAGTCATTAATATTTCAGACTGCCAAGTTCTTCGGGTGTCTCAGGTGATGTGACTATTTGTTCTACTTTTTAATTGCAGGCACAGTACTTAGAGAAAAATGCTAAAGCTAAGAATGTGTGGTTTATGAAGTGGGAGCTGAGCAATCAACAAACGTTGTTTGTGTGTCGATAGGAAAGCTGTTTTGAAAGAACAGACAGTGCAAACTGTTCCTTCTTGCATTAAAGTTCCCCAGCCTCCCTGGTACATTTAGCAGAAAACAACAAGCTTCTCTGTGTGGATTGATGCTGAAATTAAACCAGCAACATCTTCTGTAACAGTTATTCATTTGGCAGAAAGAGAATTTTAAATTTGACTTAAATGTAACAAAACCAAAATGGTCTGTGCCCCTAGTGTCTCGTTCTGCACAAGGACAAAATGGTGCAAATCTTTCAGCAAGGAAGGAATAAAAATCTCAGCAAGCGCTTCAGGATTTATTTTTGTAATAGTAAATCATCCCTGTCTGCCTAGATCTGTAAACCATACCTGCTAGGGCAAGAGCAGGCACAGGCCTGAGGGACTGAGTTATGCTCCTAAATACTGTAATTCTGCTATTTTCGTCATGATGGTCTTAACTAAAATTTTGCATTCATATAGTCACCTTATTTTTAGCCCCAGAGACAGATCTTGGGGTACATGGAAGCTTTTATCTTCTATAATCTATTTCTCTATTCTTTGACAGTGGACCATCTGAATTTTTGGTTTAATAAGGGAAGGAAGAAGACAGGCAAGTTTTATCTTGTCTAGCTGCTATGTGTGAGACAGAAAAGGCCTTCAATTGCAGGGTATGACATTTTATTGAAGATGAAAAATTTGTTGAAGAGGGACAGAAGTTTGAATTGCAGAATATATTTCTACATTAGGGAAAGGCAGACTCAATGAGGCCCTTGGGAAATGTGATTGACATTGAAAAAAATCCTATTTTGTTTTATGAGACTGCTGTAATGATGAGTCTTCTCTTCTTATGTGGTCAGATATCTGTTTATTCACATAATTCTGAGTACAAAAGCAGCTGTAGAAAACAGGTAGTGGAGAAACAACTCTCACATTTTCACTTGTAGGAGCTGTTTTTCATACTTACAGAATTCTTCTCTTGTATTAACATGAGACCAAATATAAGAAAATCTGTCCAAACAAATGAGTTGGAACATGTCCCACGATACCAATACACACAGGCAAAGTGGTGTCTCAGGCACAGTTCCAGTGGCCTTTTTGTGGTACTTACCCTCCCTGCCTGAGTGGCAAATTGTCTCCCATTAGCCTCCCCATCACATCACAAAGATGCTTCTATTTCATGAAGAAATACCACTTATTGGTATTTTGTTCTACTGCAAGGATTATTTTTTTGCACTTGATAATCACAGTGCACTACTTATTGTGAGAACTAAGTATAATTTTCTTTTTCTCTTTTTTTCTTTTTTTTCCAGAAACCAAAACAAAAAGATTGGCATCCTCCTGGGGGGTTTATTTTAGGACTCTGGGCATTGATCATCATGGTTTTCTTCAAAACATATGGAATCAAGCACATGAAACATGTCTTCTGAACTGGAACAAACAAGCTACTTGCATTGGCTGCTACTTTGGATTCATGGGTATCACCTGTGTTCTCTGCATGTGGATTATGGTTGTGTTGAAACACTGTATTGACATCCCACTTCTAAAGGTTCTTTTGAAGCCATCTCTTGTGCCACTTTTTCTGGAAAGATTCTAACAAGTGGTTTTAATGTTACTGTTAGTTCACTTTGTCTTGATTTGAACATATTTTAATGCTTTTCTGAGCATTTTTTTCTTTCTGGTTAAACTTTAAAAAGGGTGGGACCTAAACCAAATAACAGGATTTCTATGTTTTTTTCTAGATTCTAAAATTCTTTCCACTGTACTTTAAAGTAAATCTTAGAAGTCACCCATTACTGAAGAACTGGACATTGTGGAGAATGCTATTTAAGATGTCATTTTGTCTATAAAAACTTAATCCACTTTGCAGACTTTGGCATGGCATATTGAAATCTTTCTTCACAAAAATAAAAATACTCTGGAATATATTGATTTTCTTTTTTATTCTTTTTTCCTTCCTGTTGAATGCAACCCTTAGATCAGTCCTTTCACCTTAGGCAGTTTTGAGGCTATGAGTTGGTGAAAATGAAAAGAAAATTATGACCTTGCTGAGTCTACTTAAAAAGAAGGCCAAAAAATGTGAAAGGACTTCACCATGTCCATTAGAAACCCTTCACAGGTATTGTATGGGTACATACAATATGCATACAAAATGGACTTGGATGCTTTCAGAATTCTCAGTGCACTGGATTTTTGCACTGAAGAAAATCGACTCTGGCATCAGAATGAAAAACATTATAAATTGTACCATTGTATTGTGTAGTTTCTGAGCCCTTAAAAAATGTGCTTTGTTTCCTGTCTTTTGTAAATTCTGGTTTGGTGTATTGATTTGTTCTTCCTGGACATTCACTGTTGAATGTATGCTAAAAAGGATTTTGTCTGTATAATATAGTGATATTTGTGAAGAGAAGAGCAAATCTGTGCATGTGTAGAAACACATCTGTCAGTGAGAAGCTTTTGTCCTGTGCTTTTGGAGCTTGTTCTCTACCTTAACCAAAATAAAGCTTACCTGATGCAGCCATGGGGTAAGTACTAGACACATATCTTTAGAAGTTATTAGGAATTATTTATAATCACACATAATATCAGAGTTGGTATATTTTTCTTAGAATAGGGTTCTGAGCATTTCCTATTGCACAGCACATAGAAATCTGAGTGCATAAACATTTTTGTCCTTTTTTCTTCTCTGCCAGCATGATTGTGACATCCCAGCCTCAGGTGAGAGGAGGTGAACTGTCAGAGCTGTGTGAGCGTGGGAGGGCTGTGGAGAAGCCACTGAGGTTTCCAGAGAACAGGGAAAACAGCAGTGTGGTGCAGCTCGAGAATTAAAGCCTTGTTTATCTCCTTGCTTTTTATCTCCAAGTATTTTCTAGGCTTGGAGATGTTGAAAGTACAAAATGATCCATAATGGGAAGGTAAACATTTGCCTACTCCACCTGTTCATGGCACTTCTTGGTGAAGAGCTGGAATTGTTTTCAGCAACAGGGGCTTAAGGCTCAGGAGTAGAGATTAGAACTAAAGCATTCCTGCTGTCCCTGTAGTTCTGTTAACTGATCTTGTGGGTGAGATAACACTGCACATGTCTTCCCAGTGTGCTGATCAGAAGCTTCTATGTAACTGGTGCACAGATCCTTCCTGCCAACAGAAGTGCAACTTAATGGGAAAGAGAAGCGCCCTGTGGGATGGGTCTGAGTAGCATTCCTGGTGCTGGATGTCTGGATCTATATTCACAGTGTCTTGGGTTTGGGGATTAGTGTTTTGGATAATGTCCTTCAAAAGCAATGACTTCATATCCAAAATCTGATAAATTGGTGACTTTTCATAAAACCAGAAAACCTTCTTTTTTTTTCCCCTGAGCAATTTGTAATACAACAATCAAGTAAAATCTGCTGTGCACAGACCATGTAGAAATGTGTAGACCCAATATAGAAATGAACCCTGCAGCATTCCTTAGAGGATTTGCTTAGCTTTCCTTTCCTAATCCAGCTCTTTTTCAATTGTAGTAAATATTTTAATCAAATATTTATTTTATAGGCAAGTTTTGCCACGCTTTAAAAAGTGTATTAAGTGAAGTTGATAGAGCTTTGTGCCTTGCTTCAATTGCAGTTACACTTAGGTGGACTCCTCAGGCCTTATTCAATTTTTCTCTTTCCCTCTTTCAGCCACTTTTTGCAGGAAGTGATAGAAACATCTACAGAACTCAGCTGAATTTTGCCAGCAGCAGAAGATACCAAAGATTCTGTCTTTTCAAAAGCTTATTTGCTTAGGGAAAAGGAGGCAATTAGGTGGGTTATTAAAATGCAATTTATGAATAGAGACACTCAATAAGTATGCATGTGAAGGTGATTAAATTGAAGTGAGAACAACAGTTTGACTGGAATGCAGCAAACTGCTTCAGGCATTTTTAACATTTTTGTATGCACAGAAGTGAGGAGTTGAAATGGATCATTCTGAGACACCATAAAGTTGCCTATGCTACACCTATGGGACAGTGTTTGCTATGCTGTGATAGCTTTTATTCCTTCAAAAGTAACAGTCTGAAAGCAAGTACAGGAATGTCACAAATTGTCGGTATATGTGTGTTGTATATTTATTTTTTTAATTTAAATTAGTAATCTTTTCATTTTCCCAGGGAGACTTTCAAGCTCAGTTTGGAATGTGGGCTCTGGGAGCCAGCCATGTCACCCTGAGTCACATTTGTGTTCTGCAGGCCAAGGGTGCTGTGCTAGGTGCTTCCTCCAAGGTGCAAGATGATCTTTTCAATGGAATCCAGAAGACAAGCCATATGGCAGTTTCTTGATGCTTCTTTGCATGGGAGCTTTTTGAGAATTGTATTTCAGCATTTTGTGACTCTGTGTGGATAGGTCTGTGAACCAAGCCTGCAGAACGCAATGTAGTCATGTCTGCACCCTGTACTGTGGAACTGCACTGACAGGACCTGCAATGGGGTTTTAAGATATTGTTTAGAACACTCAGGGATGATAAAAATAGATGTTGGCCATTTCAGTTTTTCAGCTCTCTTTCAGGATCACATCTCAAAATGCATTTTTATTATTGAATGAAGAAAAAGTAGGTCCCCAGTAGGGTTGTACTCACGTGCAGGTGCTCTCCTGTCCCCTGGAGTGCCTGCGACCAGGCCAAAAGGCTGACACAAAGTGTGACTAAGCTGTGCTTCTGTTACAGACTGAGAAGTGAGGTTCCAACAAAAAATGAGTGGAGAAAGAAACCTGAGCAGGGTGGTGACAATCAGTGTTTCTTGGTCGATGCCAGCTGATTATTTTCATGTTTAATGACTGTTACTGATGAAATGCTGTTCTCTTGGCATAAGCAAACACCAGTGACTATTCACAGGTATCTTTACAAACAACATTAGTGATGGTGTGTCTCTTCTAGAGACTGGAGGGTTTTTTTCTTTTGGTGGGTTTTTCCTCCTGAAAGCTGGTATCTGTTACTGATTACAGAAAAGCAAATGTAATCTGGTTCTAATTCTCTTGCTGAGTGCCTGCACATTGAGCCCATTTCCATCTCTTGTTTCAGGAGTTGGGGATTTTTATTCTCAGCTACCACATACACAGAATGTACTGGAAATAAATGGAACTTGTGGTCCCATCTGCCTCCAGAGGGGCATCACTGCATGCTGGAGCAGGGCTGAGTTGCACTAAATCATTGATTTGCAAAGGGACTAAGGCCAGGTTCAGCTGTGAATTTATCCCGAGTGGAGAGGATTGGTGCAGTGATAAGGACAGGAGGCATTGCACTGTACTCCTGTGAGAGGGACTGGAAGGACCAGCTGAGGCAGGCAGAAGACTGCAGCCCTGGAAATCCTGATACTGACAGCATGTCAGTAAGGGGTTTTCTGATGCTGGAGAACTGCTGCTTTCTGTTCTCTGATGGATGCTTAGAGGGAAGGAATAAAAAGCAAGTTTCTGATCTAAAGGCTTCCCTAATTATCCATTCAGTATAGCTGAGGAAATGAGTCGCTGCTAGTTTCTGGGAAATAGTGAAGATTTCATCCAGTGCTTCCACATTGTGAAGTCAAAAACTTCTATATGGTCAGGATTATTTAGACTTGATAAAAATAGATGAAGTGGAAGACAATCCACAAAGTGAGAATGGTACATTTCAGAGAGTCTGTGGTATTTGGAGAAAGGACAGCCTTTGTATACGGTACAGTATGGGTCAAGGGTTGGGACAAGAAATCTCATGTACACATGCTCGTGTCCTCAGGTACAGATCTTCAGCTCTGTGTTACAGAGCTCAGTGTGACCTGGTAGAATTTTATCATGCTTCCAGACTAATTCACCTTTGGATTCAGACAAGCATAAAATATTTCACCCAGGAGACTAATCTATCCATAAAGTAATGAACTGCAGAAAAAAGCACTGTATATAATGAAAGTGTCTTCTCAGCCATGTGAAGATCAAACTCAGGCTGGAGCTGACAAAGTTTGGGCTCAGCACCAGTAGTTGTCCTGCAGAAGTCTCTTCAGTATTCCACAAATGAATCACATGTGCCACAAAAACTCTTTTAATCATCGCTTCAGCACTTCTGTACAATAATGAGCATAACAGTTTTTTGCATTCTTAAGTGGTGAAAGGCAAATTTTAAAAATGGAGAGTTTCTAGTGGAAGATTCTATGACTAATTTATTTCTGCTTTCCTTCTTTCTGTGAACTTTTAAAAATAAAAAGCTTCCAGGAAATATATCTTGAAAGTGTCTGTGTTTTGTAATGAAAACTTGCATAGGCTGCATAACATACTCCGAAATCAGCATTTCTTAGAACTCATTTCACTTGCAAGTTCTTTAAGACCAAGTTACTTTTTCTCCCCTAATGAGGATTTCTGCCTGATTTAGTGATTAAATTGATAATGTTTAAGGTTTCCATTGAAGGATGTACATCTAATTGTGCCATGTCTTCTTCCTCATGCAGATAATAGATTTAACTTTTCCTTTCCTTTCTTTCTTTTCTGGACTGAGAATAACACTGAAGCCTTTGCCAAAACTGAGCCAGTTTGGCTGCTTTGGCCGACAGGCTTAATAGAGATGCAAATTGTATTGGCCTAAATTATTTTGGTGACATTGTTTACAACAATCACTTCAACAAAACAAGCCCCACAAGAAGCAAACTGTTTGGACAGTGTATCAGCAAAGCTCAGCCTAGGGGGTCTTTGCCATGAAAGTGGCATTTTTCACACTGCTGTTGACATGGCTCTGGTGACAGCTCAGCAGAGACCAGGCCACCAGGCTGTGGTTTATTTGGGAGATTTATGGCATGCCTGTGACAAAACTGACTAATCTGAAATAGTAAATAGATTTCCTTTCTTGGCCTGACTTACTGGAATAATGCTCTTATATTAAATGTTTGACTAGGCCCACAGGCTCTGCAAGTAATGAGTATTATAAACTTAGGCTCTGTCCTTTATATCCA